TGGCTTCATAGGTTTCATTACAATGTTCTCTTTAATTGTGCCTGATTTACAATTTCCCATCTATATATGTTTGCCAGGGCTGCATAACAAAATACCACACTCTGAGGGGCTTAAATGACAGATATGTATTTTCTCACGGTTCTGAAGTCTGGAAGTCTGGAAGTCCAAGATCAAGGTGTTGGCAGGTTCGGTTTCTTGTGAGGCCTCTCTCCTTGCCTTGCAGATGGTCACCTTCTTGCCGTGTCCTCACATGTTCTTTTCTCTGTGCACACCCACCCCTGGTGTCTCTTTGTGTGCCCAAATTTCATCTTATAAGCACATGAGTAAGACTGGATTAAGCTCACCCTAATGGCCTCAATTCTTTAAAGGTCCTGTCTCCAAATACCATCACATTCTGAGGTCCTGGGGGTTAGGACTAGAACACATGACTTCTGGGGAGATATAATTTAGCCCATAACACCATAATAAAAAATTTAAAAATAAAACATGAGATATAATGTTGAAAATACAATATTTTCAAAATAAAATACATAAAATCCGTAACGTCAAAAACTAAATAAAAAAAGACATGAATTGCTTCTTGGCCTACATCTTCATATAAACTTGTCTCAGAGTCTTACCTTTTAATATTTACATAGGCCTCCTCACTCAGTGTGCATCCCTAAGAGAAATGGAGTATTTAATTTTTCTTGTAGTGCCTTCCTGAGATCTTAGACACTAAAGTGCATCAAAAGGAAAACAGTATTTTGTTGTGAGCAGCTAGCTATATCCAGCTACTAGAGTGTTATGAACTGAACATCTGTGTCCCCCCCCAAATTCTTATGTTGAAACCTAATTCCCGGTGTGATGTTGTTAGGAGGTGGTGCCTTCGGGAGGTAATTAGGCCATGAAAGTGGAGCCCTCATGAATGGGATTAGTACCCTGGTAAGAAGAGACAGAGAGCTAGCTCACTCTCTTCACACCATATGAAGAAACAAGAGGATGTCACCATCTGTAGGTCTGCAAACCAGAAGAGGGGGCTCACCAGAACCGGACCATACTGGCACCCTAACCTTGGACTTCCAGCCTCCAGAACTGTAAGAAATACATTTACGTCGTTCACAAACTGCCAAGTTCATGGTATTTTGTGACAGCAGCCCAAGCTGCCTAAGACATAAAGCAGTGTCTATATTTTTAAAGGAATTACTAATCTAACAAATATTATCCCTCACTTTCAAAATTATATACAAACTGAGAAGTAGACAGGAGTTAAGTGATGGCGTAATTAGGAAGATTTGTGATTAACTGTCCTCACCCAGTGTCGACCTACCTCACTGGAGGTCATCAGTGGAGGGCCATGTGCTTGATTTCCCTGGCCTGGTCAACAGGATTTACACAAAATCTTAGAGAAAATATTGGCCAAACATAACATCTCTGGAACAACAGTGCATTAATTGGAAGTCAGCATTAGGTTCCCCAAAAGGTTCTGACGACCTGAAAGAATGGGCCTAATAAGGTGATAAAATTTAATAGGAATGTAAGTATGATTCTATACTAGGGTCCAAAAACATTTACTGGAAAAATATGAGAGGTAAGCCTTAATAAGAATACAGATTAAAAATTTTGTTAAGAATTTTAATTGATAATAAAAACCCTGAGGGTCAATCATGTGCTTACTGAGAGTCAATATATTAGGCTGTCTCAGAATTATAATAACTTAAAGAGATGATTATCTCATTTGATTCAAGGCTATTTGAGTTTGATCTGGCATTTTTGTTTCTAGGTGATACACTTTATACAGTATAAGGTTAAAATGGTGAATATATTTAATGACATGTCAAATGAAGAAGCGCAAAAGAACTTGGATGTTAGGGAAAAATGAGACTGGAGGGAGAGAGAAAGCGTGTCTTCAAATATCAGCAGGGCTGTCATTTGGAAAGGCCTTAGGCCAATCCTTCATAGCCCAAGGGGGAAGCATTACACTGGCCTGGCTAACACCTCCTCATCCTTCAGGAAATATCACTTCTTCAGAGAGGCCGTGTCTCCGGCAGCCAGACTCTGAGCTCCTGATCACTGGCTGCTGCAGCCTCATTCTTCTCCGTTGGGCACCAATCCTACTTCTAATTGTTAAACTTGTTAGCCCTGCTAGACTGTAAATTCCCACAGAGGATGGATCACATCTGATTTGTTAGTCCTAAAACACTGCCTGCCTAGCACAGGTGAATGAGTGAAAGAACATGTGAGAAATAGATTTGATTAATATGAAAATATATTTTCTAATAGAGTTGTACAGAGATTCACAGGCTGCCTCAAGAAGTAGCAATTTTTCCTCCCTGGGAGGCCCTCACTTGGGGTTAACATGGCAGTCCACTTGCCTGGGGCGGGGGTGGATGCGGTAGAGGGGATTAAAGCACCAGAGGGGTGACTGGATTAAATTATTTTCAGCACCCTTGCTAGCCTGAGGCTCTGTGATTTGAGTTCTGCTGGGAAAGGTTATGCTCACTACATTATAGATTTCGTTTCAGCACACCAGCCATATTCTGATCCATTCTGGAAGTTTAGTAATAAATTTCTACAATCATCACTTCTGTTCAAACCCAAATCTCAGTTGATGTTTCTCTCTCTCTTTCCCTTCTCCTTCTCGCCCTACTCCAAAAAGCTGACGATTAATATTTCCGCTTTACTGTAAGGATGCACAAAGCTTCAGAAAACACAGTAGCAGACAGTGAGGTGAGGTCAGACTCAGAGACAAGAAAAATGTTTCTGAGCTTCTTAGCACCAACTGTGCCAAAAGTAAATGCAGATTTGACAAATGACACAAAGTCATTATCTCTCCATTTCCCTTTCTGCTGATTCATTTTTTATAAGGGCCCAATTTTCCATAGAAGCAGATCAGATTTACAGCAAATACAAAGATTGCATCTTTTATTTATAAGGCAAAAATATCTGCCCAAGTACTTTTCATTAAAATTTGTGTGCCCCGTGATACTGGCTTTCAGAGTATTAGCCAAGCGTTACATAACTTTGGTTATTCCTGTGCAAGTGAAGAAGCAAAGACCTTGCCAGTCAATCTCCTCAGCACAGTTCCTGAGACTCCCAATTCTGACCTCGATCACCTGATTCAGTTCGATAATGAAGTCTTGGGGATGAAGTTGTGAGATGTGTGAAGCAATACACATGCTCACTCTCCTTCCTTCACTCTCTGCCTTCCTTCTAGAGGAACACCCCTTGTGAGAGTATCTTCTAGCCCTAAATCAATTCATAGACAATTATGGAATTAGGAAAACAATATGTTATTAACCAGTAATAATTAAAATACAAATATAACTTATTTGTTTGGAATTTTATTACATCCATTGAGAAAGTTTTGAAAAAATTAGGTAGATAAGACAGGGAGTTACATAGATGGGGGGAAGGCTGGCAGGTGACACCCTGGAGTTGAAAGTACAATGGTGGGAAGGGCACCCACACGCCAGGCAAAGGGGCAGGAGAGCTCCCCCCACAAACTGGACTGAGTATGATTCTCCTGAGTAAGTGTGGGCTGGATGAGATAATTCCTAACACCTGTAAATCCAATGCCTCTTTCTGAGGACTTAAGCACTTATTCTAAAGATGAACAACACAAAGTAGAGATTTCAGAGAAAATCTGAGGAGAATGGGGGAAGTTACGCAACTTTCACATGCTGAACGTTTTCCTTTTGTACCATGTCATGCTAACGTTTAAAGACCAGGGAGTAGATGTTGATTTCTCTCTCACTCTGTGTATTCTTACGTTTCTACACCTTCAGGCAAACCCTGCCAAACAATGTAGTCATTCCTATGTTTAAGATACCTTCAAACATGTCTCTGAGAAAAAAATATGCATGAAAAAACTATGTGTATGCTAAGCAAAAATTACAAGGATACACTCTTCAGAGTGGTACTTCTCAAACTTTAACATGCACACACATCACCTGGAGATCTTGCTGACGTGCAGATTTTAATCCAGTATTAAATGAGGCCTGAGATTGTGCATTTCTAACAAGCTCTCAGGTGGTGCTGATGCTGCTGGTCCACAGACCACCCTCTGAGTAGGTTTTAGACCACGACATGAAAATCCAGCTTTGGTGGGAAATCTGTGCCCTCACTTCATTCCCACTTTTATTTTTGTTTTTCCTGAGTCTCTGTACTCTTTCCACTTTGACTGGTAGGAGACAATTTTAGGACCGAGCAGAGTAGATACAAAATAAAAGAAAATATTCTAAAATTATAACTTCAAGTGGAGCAATAATAAGATTTTAAGTTGTCTCAAGGGTAGAGACATAATTTTTGATATGCAAGAATTATACATACTTCATGCAAATCATTGAACAAACACACAGCAGCCTATTTCCTTCCATAAATGAGGGCCTACGCCTGCTTAAGTCAAAGGAAGTCTAGGTAATGAATGCACAGCATAACACCTCATCATTCAGGGATCTCTGGAGAGTAAGGTAATCTGAATAAGTAAAATTTTACAGATAACCTAAGTTTATCTCTTTAAGTTTCCAAACATATTATTTTCAGTTATTTTCAATCAAAATATTTCTGGAACTAACATATTCAAGACTTGTTAAATATACAAAACAAGGTTTACACATCAACAATGATTATTCTACGGCATGATATAACAATGCCGTGGGAGCTACTCAGGTCTAGGGGGGACTATGCGCTTCCACACAGTAGCATCTTCGAGTGTCCTTGGAGGTTTCCTGGCTTATTTCAAGCAAACTTCTGCCTCCTTCTTCCAGGATCAGCTGCCGCTTCATGGTGCTCTCTGATTGCCCTCCCCTTGCAATTTGTAATCTGCTGCTTTATTTTTCACATACTATTCTGGGAAAGATTCTGTGACTGGCCCCCTTCTCATTTTCCTTTCTTTCTTAACGCAGGAGCTGTTTAAGGGCTCTGGGTTACTGGTTACCTGAATCAATGCAATCATTCCAGCAAATCACACAAATTGATCCCCCGTTAAGTATCTCTTACTATGACTATTGAATACTCACTGATCCCAGTGTCCTTACAGTACTGGACCAAGTACTGTCCCATGACTTTTAGCAGATGATTATACTCCAGGACGTTGAGAAATTCCTGCTTATTATGAGATGGTTCCATGATTTCCAAGGGTATATTAACAATTCCAACCACACCTGCACCAAGTCTGGGGGTATAAATACACACATAAATTTTGTGAAATTTAGCTAAGAAAAAAGAAAAAGCAAATATACCCTGATCTTCTGAAATCAATTTTTAAAAAAATAAATTCATTCACTTGGGCTGGACGGTGTAAACGTTAACAAGTTAACTTTTAATTGTTCTGTTACATAAATCTATGGTAATCCCAGGTGCATTTGGTCCCATAATACAAAATCTCTTAATACATCACTACTGAATTAATTTGACTCCTTTTCCAAACTTATACACGGGGAGTCAGGCTGGGTGGGAAGAGAAGGCCTTTTAGCCTTAAACATCACCAACGGCGCCTTGCTGCAATAAACTGACATGTTCCTCTGGATACTGGCCAGAGAGTCCCTTTCTTCGTCCTCATCTCACCTCTCTGGTTGGATCTCTCCTCCTCGTTGCAGAGGTCCACGGGGTGCTCAGTGACTTCTACTAAGGGAACGTAAGGGATGGACTATCCCAGAAAGTGGGATAATCTTGATTATCTGCCTGTTAGCCTGATGGATAAACTCGATTTTCTTTTCACATTTTTAGCAGCTCATGACGTATGTAACTGGGACATTCTGCTTAGTGACACGCCCTGTTTCTGGAAACAGGAAAGAGCATCTGGAGTCTAGCTCTTCCGATGCTCCCCACTGCCCCCAGCATGGCACACGAATCAAGCCTTCCCAGGGTGGAGCTGCTGCCCCTCATGTTTCTCGCCACTTTCCCCTTTTACCCTGCCCTCCCCTCACCATTCATTCGGTAAGTCTAAGTTTGGACATCATTTCTTCCAGGAAGCCTGACTTAACTTCCCCCAGTTTGGTTTACTGCCCCTCCTAAATGCTCTTTTTGTGCATGATGCTTGCCTCTAATGTATATTCATTCATTCATTCCTTCATGCTCAGGATCTGGCCCTATTCCAAGAACTAGGAATACAGTAATGAACAGGAAAGACAAGGTCCTTGTTTATGAGGTTCCTCTTCTATTGAAGGGTGACAGGCATTAAGTGTAACAAGATCATTTCAGCTGGTGATAAGTGGTATGAGGAAAATGAAGCAGGTGCTATAATATGTAAAGAGCTAAAGTAGAGGGGGGTGATGGCAGGGGCTAATTTTAATTAGTCCAGGAAGACCTTCCTGTGGAGGGGACTTTAGTACTGGTGCCTGAGTGACATGCTGGACCAGCAGTAAGAAGATCTGAGGACACAAGCTTCAAGGCAGAGGGAATGGCAAGTGCCCAGACCCTGAGGCAGAAACAGGAAGCCCGCTGTAGTGAGGGGAACCCAGTGCGAGGGTGGGTATAGGCTGGGCACTCACAGAGCCTGGCAGAGGCCAGATCACTGGAAGACCATGGTAACCAGGGATCAGGTGCTATTCTACATGCACTGGGGTTTTAAGGAAGAGAGTAAACTGATTTATGTTTAAAAGATCATTTTTGCTGTTTCCACACATTATAAAGTATGTGTATTTATATACTCGTCCCTTTGACTGGACTACACATTCCTCAGCAAAGGGCAGTAGGTCTTCACTATCTTGTCTGCAGAGCTTAGCACAGTGCCCGGTGCACGATACTGCAACGTAAGTGCTTCTTGAAGGAACAAGCGAATGAATTGCTAATTCCTTGGGAGTGAGGAAGCAAGATGAACAACGTTCCCCTGAACCACCCTACTGGGCATGGTTATCCCTTCCGACTCTGCTTTTCTGGGGTCTCTCATCAGGACTCAACACAATTCATGAAGGCAGCTTGTGGAGTTTCAGACCATTGCGAAAGCACCAGAATGTACTAGTCTGGAATCCAAATAGGCTGGAGAGTGTTAATAACAGACACTTACGCAGGTAACTGGCAAGAACTCACACGTGCAGGGGCTGCACAAAATGTTAACAGGGTTGCTTGACAAGACTACAGATTTTTCTTTTCTAAAATTTCTTTATTATGCTTGTATTATTTTTAAATTGGTAAAATATAAAAACAACCCAAGCAGATGGCACAAAGAATGGTGAAACATCAAGTTGCTCAGGAAATGCATTGAGCAAATTTCCCGAAGTGTGCCTTTTCCTTAGCACAGGCATGCAGCTCCACCGATATGATCAATTAGGCAGATGAACGCCTGCACATTGATGGGAAGGGTGAACGGAGGATATGACACCTGCTTCCATCAGGATTAATCACTCATCGAGCTCCAGAGACAGAATCTTACTGCGACCCCTGCGTCCTGCCTGTGCCTCTGAAAACAGGAGCATACTTACAAGGACTTCAGTTTCAGCTGTGGGCCCACTTTCTCATGCATTTTGATCAGGCGGTTATTACTGTAGATGAAAACCCCAGCTTGGCTTCGGTTTTCTATGTTCACTCCAAAGAACAGGGAGAGTGTCCTCGCTTTTTTTAATTCTCTAGCATTATATTTAGAAAAGTTAAAGAAAGTTTTTATGAAATAAAAATATACAGTTTACAAACTGATAATAGTTAAACTCAGAAGGTAAACATCAAAAGAACTATACATAAAATATCCAGGTATTTTGCAAAACCTAGTGGGTACGTCTAGTATTTCCATATAGCAAAGTATTTTTGCATGAACCCAATGGCCAATAACTCTACCAGTCAAATACAAGCATTGCTTGATATAAAACAAGTGTAAAAGAACTAGAAAAGACCAAAAGAGTTACAAAATGTTAACTGGTCCAATATGTATACTGCAGGGTTTTTGAAAAATGATGATTTGACTATTTTAAAATTTAGGTATTTCTGACACTGGATGTGATTTCTATCTTTCAGCATGTTCTCAAGCCTCCTAATGTCTTACATAGATCAGAATGTACCAAAAAATATTCTTTAGCTCCCTTTTTCCCTTTTAGCTCTCTTTTTCCAAAATCATACATAAATCAAAGTCAATACAGCAAGTTTACAAGGAAAACAGATAACGAGCTCCTGTTTTTCTGACTCTGTGCTATTACACTATGTTTTATGTGTAAAAATAGCAGAATATGACAGAAAAAAACACAGTAACAGGAGGCTGCTTGGAGCTATGAAAAGCACCTGGATGTAAGAACCAGAAAGATGGACCTGGCTTCAACTATGAGCCCATCTTTGAAATAACCATGTGACTATGGATGAGTCAATTCAACTTTCTCTCTCATCTGGAATTATACCCCGCTAGCCACTTGGGATGCTATGAGGACTAACAGAGATAATGTTAAATGTAAACTGGGACCAGATTAGGTGCTTAGCAAATGCTATTTTCATTTCCCAACCAAGAATGGTATCAAACGTAATTCTTCCACTCCACCATCTTGTAGTTCCCCCATTCCACAGAAACAGCTTTCTCTTTTCAAATTCATGACCATGTGCTATTACAACTGACATAATGTTCTTACTGCACTGATTAAATATACCCATCATTAAAGGACAATGAGAAAGTTCTCTCAGTCCTCCAACGTGGATGGGATACACAGAGTACATCAGACTTTCTAAGGAAGGTATTGACGTTGGTTAATACATATTTTTAAACGAATGTACATGTAGGGTTAAATATATATGAATCAAACATTAAAAACATCTACTCAATAATTAGATCCCCACTTTCCAACAAAAAAGAAGACTGACTATTAAAGGGACTCCAAAAGAAGGTGTTAACAGGATACAACATAATCACCCTGCGATATTAAGTGGCATACTGACTGTCTTCAGATTACAAAAAAAAAAAAAAAAAAAAAGCATTTTGCTAGAAAAACAAGTTCACACCAACTGGTATTATTATTAATAACATACAGGTTGGTCACCTTTCATGCATATCATTGTGACTACCAGCTTTTTCTTTCTGAAGAAGCCTTTGCTTTTCAGTGAAGATTTCTATGACATTTACTTAACATTTTTATAAGTGAATAATTAACATTTCAAATTTAAGTTTTGAGGAAAGTTATGGTTATATAGCACTTCATGGTTCACAAAAAATAACGCTGAAGACTAGTAATACTTCCCAGGAAACTTGTTTCTCAAAGTTGTCACAGTTCTCAAAGTCTGACCTCACTTGGACAACAGCAGTTATTTTCAGTTTAACTTGTTTAACATCTGAGCTGTAGAGCAAGTTACCCTGACAAACGTAAATAACGGTTTTGCAATATAGGCTTGCTATTTTTATTCTAACCATGTATAATTGATACATTTACTTGAAACATTTTCTATCTCAAATTTTAAGCAGTACTAGAAGAGGGAAGAAACTGGGACCAACACTCCAGAGTTTAAATGGCAAAGGAAACAAGGAAAGTGAAATTGTCAGCTGAATCCCTGGGCAGTTCACTTCTTCATCCAATCAGACACTGAAGTAATTTGTTACTCTGTGTTCAGAAGTTTTAACGTTAGTTGAACGTATGTGTACATGCAAATATATATCTATAAATACTTTACATTGATTATGTCCATTGGGGGATTTTGACCATATTATGCTTAATATCATAAGATGTCACAGGCTGAGAAAGAGAAACTGTCACAATAACCACCAAATCTGCCTACTCAGAAATCAAAACTTGTTTAACATAGTGCAGAGCATTCTGGCACACAGAAAATCTTACCTCTGTTTCTCTTTAAGAACCTTATGCTTTGCCTCTACATCTTCCAAAGCTTTCTGTAACACATCTGTTCCCTGGAGAAGTACATTTGATAGGAGAGAACATAATGCCGTTAAATTAACAAAAGCTGAGCTGGTATTTATCATCCATTGTCCAAATGTTTCACAAGGGTAGCAGTGAGGGTTCACATTGCCTGAGGCAATTCCACCAGATAGATACTCAATCAATACCTGATAAACGATTAAGTTCCAGTAGCTAAGCAGACAAATCAAATCCCAGCCCCTGGTTCTGTTTTTGCACATATTCCAACGTCCTCTGCCTTTTAGAGAAGGAGCCACTGCTCCCTGTAACGTCACGATAGCTTTCGCACAAACTATGTGAAAGTTTGGGAAAGTCGTTCAGTGTACCTAGATGCTGGCTTTTGTCTGTGACAACAGAAAATGCTGAATCATGTGATCAATCACTAAGACTTCTTTCAGGAAAAAAATCTGTAATTAAAAAATTTTGTCAGTAGCTAAAAAAAAATGTCTTGTTTATATCAAGTTCCAGATACTCCTAACTAATACTCCCCAAACTTTCCCTTTATAGATATCTTGTCCCTAGGCTTTCTCCCTTTCAGAGGGCCTCAATGCCACTGCCCACCTGTCTTCCTTATCTTTTTCAATTTGATGTACTCATTCACTATTCTATCTGTAGTATATTCCCTCTAACCAGGCAGAAAAATAATAATGCATTATTATTATTTCACAAATAAGAAGAGACTTTTAATGTGCTCCATCCACCTGATGTGAAGGCTGGGCATCTCATTTGATGGGTATACCACTGGGACTAAACATTATTTTCACTGATTTTAAAGTAAAAGAAAATGGTAAATGGTTGGTAAGTATTTCACTTCACATTCAACCACTCGATTGCCTAGAGGAATTTAAGAGGTCAAAAGCTGAGGTCATTCTGCTTTGCTCTTTTCTCTGAGTTAAAGAAACCAGTGTGCATCAGAGCAACAAAGCAGGCCAGTCAAAGACTTCCCCGCCCTCCTTGTCAAGGTGCTCAGAGCACAGAGCAAAGAGGCGGAGAGAGGTAAAACTGGCCAAAGAAAGAAGAAAGCAAGGTCCTGACCCATTAGAAAGAGTCTGCTTCTCTTCCTATCAAATACAGAAAACCAAGGAAGTTGATTTCTTAGAGGCAAAATTTAAAAAGCTTAAACTTTTCTTTAAAAATCGATAACATAAGATAGGTCTACATTTAACTTAAAAAATAAGCAGAAAGAGAAAAGTAAGAGACTTTGGGGAAAGCTAGAGATAGCTTTGGGACATTACCACGCACTACTCTTGGATTTCATCCCCTATTCATGACGTCAGATATGAGAGCTCTTTATCAGACATGGCCCTGGTCCTCGAAAGTTTAAGGGCTAATCACCAAAAAGATTCATTTACTGAGTCTGTAGAAGAGGATACAGGAAAAGTGAAGTGAAGCATTTATTTCTCCATATACTTACTTATCCCTTTGTATGCAAACAAATAAACGTGTTGCTTAACGATTCACTGTGGAAGAAAGCTTTGTACCATACTTGTGGTAAAAGTTAGCAAACTTACCATACATGTCCCACAGCAACATTTTTTTCCCATGGTTGCCATGCATTATAATTAATAATAATAGTTCTTTATAACCTATCTTACTCATGGGCATACTGCAAGGATTACAGAGAATGTTTACGAACTGTGTGGAGCAACTCATAAAAAAAGAGCTTTGTAAGCTGGAAGCATTGTTATTAATATTCATAATTATAGTACATAATTCTTAGCACTAGAAAGAAGGATTGCTTATATTAGTCTTCTCCTTGCTCTCCCCATTTATTTGAGTCCATGGGGAGCTATCATTTGAAAGGATATTTTCAAGGAGACTTGATGGGCTAGTTTTTCCTGCTAGATTTTCATTATTTCCTCCTTTTCTCATATTATTTTTCTTTCCGTTTTAAAGAAATGAGTTGTGACGCTCTTCCCCACTGTTCCAAATTCACTCCACGTTCTATTCATCTCTGCTCTCCGCCTCAGCCTTCCCCTACTTGCTGAATTTCCTTCTCCTTCCTCTGCACTCATCTATTGTGTTTACCTGTGCCAAAATCAACTTAATCTTCTGAGCTTGTCTGTGTCTAAAAGTTTAGGAAGTAAATGATATGAGACAACTGTGTACAGGGGAGAGGAAATGACACTGTTTACCATTTAAGAAGACTACTCTGTGCGCCATACCTTGGCAGGAGAAGACAAAGTTGTTCTGTCAGGCTGCTTTGCTTCAATTTGTGCTTCTTTCAGTATGAGCTCAGCTAGAAGCAGGAGCAAGATAATTATAACACAGTGAGATTCTTTCAAGCAATTTTAAGAGAGCATTCTATATCTCTACAGCCAGGACCAGTGAGAACGGCTTACAGACAATACTCTCAGAAAATGCTATATTTCTTCCAAAGTTCTTGCATTCCAAGTCTGTGTAGCCACACTGGGCTTCCTCTTAGGCATGGCAACTTATAAATATACACAGACAAGTTCACAAGTCATAATGGAATGTTCGGCTGACTGAAAACTCTCTAGAATCCATGAACTATGGATGTAGAGCTACTCCTCACTCCTGAATCACTGGGAAAGGACGGCTTTGTTCCTGCTGTGGGAGGAGTGAACATGGAGAACATTCCTTCTTAAAGTGAATGCCATGCTAGTCTCTAAAGTGATCTAACGGCATCATGACAACCAGAGTTTCTAATATATATCAATCTAATTCCAAGTGTGTACTTGGAACTTGGGTCATACTTATAATAATAAATAACACCTTAATTAAACAAAACCAGAGATGGAAAATATGTGTTGTGAAATTCCTTAGAGGCAGGAATTGCATTTGATTAATTGTGGTCATTCCTACAACGCCTAGAGCAGTGTATATCTCAGAACAAGTGCTTAATTAATGTCTACTGAATGAATGAACAATAACGATGTAGGCCACAGGTCATTACACACCAATCTTTACTGCTTCTTCTGCCTTTTTAACTTCATTTTTAAATACTCCTTTGAAAGAAGATGTGACATACAGATACTTTCTGGGAAGAAAAGAAATAAAAGAACATAATCAAGTCAGATTACCATTTTAAAGTACATAATATGAGAATATTCTTTAGAAAGACTATATACTCCAGAGACATGTAATTATTAAGAAAGATTCATCAAGTAAGTTGTATCCACCTGGTAAATCAGCAAACTTTACACATAAGAAGAAATTCCTTGCCTTTTAATACTTAGCAATTTTGCTTTTGTCAGGAAACTTCAGGAGAGAGAGAAGAAAATCTCTGCCCACACAAATGTTCACTTACACATATAAAATAGCTAATTTCTGAAAAAGAAAATTTTCTATGCAACTGCTCCATTACCAAAGTTTCTGGTTAATACACACAGCCCTCTCACCCAGATCATCACTGACAACAGATAAACCGCTTCTTCCAGTCCCCAATTATCCCTCACTGAAACGCTCAGAAACTACACGTTAACACAGCATTTTAAACTCCCAAAGCACATTTTCTACTTTACTGATGAAGAAGCCTGTTTTCAAGGTCCTCTGTTTTAGTGAGAGCAAAGACGCTCTAGAATAATCAAGGAAATAGAAAAAAGATATATGTGTGTGTGTGTAACTCAGTAAATTTCAAAGTTTATAAAGCAAAATATGGATGAGAAAAGCTCTGTAGAACAGAAGTTCTCTAAATGCAGCTGAAACAGTGTGTATCTGTTAGAGAGGACTCCTGGAACCCAGGATTTTACTTGTTGGTTTAAATCATCATGGAGAGAAAAATTCGAGAACATTATTTCGTTTGAAAATGCTCAAAGCTCCAGACACCTCATTCTACAGCGTTTGCCTCATACACCCATAGACTCAGGAGCTCACCGCCTCTGATATCCTCAATGTTTGGGAAGGCATCGAATTTTCAGTGAGAGGTAGGTGGAGACCTGTAGAACATCTCCTGAAGCCAAAATGCCTTAAGACTCAAAAAGCGGCATTTGCTCAGGTAGAGGGGAGAGTCTAAATCTACATGCCCCACGGAGTCTACGCCAAGGATCCCACGGGCCAAACTGGGCCAGCGGCTTGTTTTTGGTTTTTCATTTCTAAAAGATAGTAATAATAATAATAATAATAACACAAATAGTAAATATAAGATTATACATTAAAATAATAATAATAAAGGAAAACTAAGAATATGTGAAAGAGACTGGATGTGCCCAGATATTTACTATTAGGCCCTTTACAGAAAAGGTTTGCTGACCACTGGATTCTGTGCTACTCGCTATGGCTTTTGAATGACAGCATGATCTAGAATTGCCTTTATATGTTCTGACTTTTAAGCAATATGAGCAGGCATGCAAATTCTTCACTATACAAACAGGTCGTATGTAATTTAACTGTTTGTTAGCTGGAGGCTGTTTATAGTTTGTTTAAGACTCTCTTCCATTATCTCAACAGAGGCAATACAGATAGACTAGACAGAACACCTTCATGATTAAGTGTTAAGTCGGTCTGCCTGGAGTCCATCTGCCGGGATCAAAGGCCTTGGTTTTCCCCTTACTAGAAGAAGAGGACTGGGAAAGTTACTTCATTTTCTGCGATTCCATTTCCTTATGTGTAAATGGGGATGATAACAATGGCATGTATCTCATAGGGCTGTTAGGAGCATTAAAGGTGTCAATAGAGCTAAAGAACATAGAATAATGCTGGTTCACAGTAAGTACTCGATATGTGTTATTATCTAATAATAACAACAAATTAGATATCTTAAACACATTAGATATGTTAAACATATTTTTTAAAAAATCCAAATGAAATCAAGGAGAAACTGTTGGAACAATGAGGTAACCCTTCAAAGAGGGTAAGAGTTAAACTATCCGAGCATTTTTACAGCCTATGTGTTCACAGCTATAGAAAGTAAAGGGCACAAGAGGTGTCAGCTTTGCATTAGTGCTTAATTTGAGACAACAAAGACCAAAAAAATGTGCTCTCTCCATAGTTTGTGTCATTGAGATAACCTGGTCCCAGATGATCTGCCTACCAGGTGACAATTTAAATTTTACAATTGCTCACGATTAAAGAAAGCTAACTAAGAAACATATGTACCTTTACAAATCCAGTGTAATGAAGGTGCCCCTTCTCACAAAGGAAAGAATTTTCAGTCAAATCTCCATCCATAACCGGGAGCCTCTCCCAGCCTGACACAGCTATCTTTTCCTATTAGTGGACTCTCGAAGGTAAAAATATCTTTAAGAGCCAGAGTAATGCAGCCACTGGAGGACAAGGAAGAGAATTCATCCAGCGCTGTCTATTCCTCAGTCCTTGCAGCTGAGGGCAAGGGAACAGCGTCCCCTCGAGGACTGGGCCTCCAGTTCCTCAGCGGTTAAAATTTTTTCCAAACTCATCTCCCACACTTTGCATTTCCCTTACCTCTGCCCAAATCCTGTGCTGCAGCCTCGACCTCCACACTGTTTCTGCCTTCTCTGTAAACTCCGCCTCACCTGCCACATGTTAGGCCTCCACTCTTCCCCACATAGTTTATCTTCTACCTCCTACTCTTTTCCATCAGTGAAATTGTACTCAAATATTTTGCTTCTGTCCACTTTCTACATAAAACAACTTATTGAATATTTGCTTTCTAAAAGAGCTTAAAACACATAAAGTCAATGAAAAGTATTGAGAGAAATGAGAACTGAAACAATATACCAGTTTGCTCCTTAGAATGGCAAAAATGAAATAAGAAAATACCATTAATAACAAGTGTGGATTTGGAACAAGACAAAGGCCCAGGCTTACACACTGTCAACGTACAAATAAAGTGGTGTCTACTTCTTGGAGGGTAAATTAACAAACATCCATCAAAATTAATACTGTACTTATCTTTTAACCCAGAAATTTACTTCTATAATCTGTTCTACAGAAATAATTGCATAAGAGAATAAATATACATATGTCCAATGACGCCCAAGCATATCAAGTTTAGCATTGTAACAATAACCCCCAAAATTCTAAATATACATTAACAAAGAAATAGGTAAATAAGCCAGAGTATTATACAATAGATTTAACAACGACAGACAAAGACCTCCAAGAGATAATCTGTAAGTGAAAAGAGCAAGCTGTACACAATTTTATGTTTTAAAAACGAACTGTGTGTGTGTGTGTGTGTGTGTGTGTGCACGTGTGCGTGCGTCTCAATGTGCAGAAGACAATCTGGAAGGGCATTTATTAAACTTCTAGTGGAGGTTCTCCTTTGGGGAGATTACGGATTGCGAGAGCACAGAGGGAATGACAAGTGGTAAAGGGGGCTTTTAGTTATTTGATTTTTTTCAATATCTAACTCTGTATTGTTTGAATTTTTATTAATTTTACTACTTTAGGAGCAAACTAGAACTCCTCCCTCTCAAGAGAAATAAAAATATGAGAAAATATTGAGTAATTTTTAAGGTTTTATGTTGCAGAAGTGGAGAGTATAGCACAATGCAGCATTTCAAGTGAGTATTTTGATCAGAACCACGTGCAAAAATTTAAATTTTTATTAGCATTTAATATCTACACTTAGAAAATTTGTCTAAAATATTTTGGCTTACATAAAATACAATATTTTAAATTGAAAAAACAGACTACAAGTAAATAAAACTATGGAACTGAATTTTTATTTACACAGAAAAAACTAGCCCATGGTTATGGATCAAAACTACATTGTAGTATTCACAATCATAGCCATTTTTTTTTTTAATTACGAGAGTTTACCTGGCTTAGTCATACTGAACATAGTTAAAGTCTTTAATTATTCATCAAAACACGTAATGAGGCACGATCAAGAATTTTCTGGCTAGTATAATGTTGACAGCTAGACCTGGACGTCAAATGGACTCTCAAACTTGGTAGGTCGAGCACGAGCGGAGAGAACTCCTTCACCGTTACTCCTAACCCCCACATCTGGACCTCTCCTATCATTCCCAAGTTTTTGCTCAGGGAGAAAACTCAAAAGGCATTCATGGCTCCCAATTTTCTCTCCACCTCACATCCAATGCATCAGCAAGTCTTGTTGGCTCTCTCTTTACAATCCATCTGTAATCTGAACACTTCTCATTTCTTCCACCACTCCCACCCCAGCTCCAGCCACTAAAACTTCTCACCCAGAACACAGTAATGGTATCCTCCCTAATCTCCCTTCCTCCCTCTTTCCCCCATAAAATCAACTCTCCACTCAGCAGCCAAAGTCATCGTTTAAAAACATAAATCAAGTAATGCCACTCCTCTCAAAAGTCTTTACATTCTCAATACAAGCACTTCTTGCCAGGCTGCTCAAGGCCCTATAGGATCTGCGCCTACCTCTCTCACCTCTTCCCAGGCACTGTGCTCAGCTATACTAGCCTTTCCCCCTGCCTGTACCTGATCTTCTCTTCCTGGAAACATCTGCCCACAAAATTCTTGCGTGACTCACTGTGGGACCCACCCTCCAGGATGTCCTCTAATGGTTCCTGCCTCCTGATATTCATGCCTTTGTGTACTGCCCTCCTACACTGAATCCAGGCTGGCCTGTGTGACCAAACGAATCCAGAAGTGGTGGTATGTGACTTTTGAGGCTAGGTCCTAAAGGATTGCAGTTTCTACTTTGTTCTCTTGAATTGCAAACTTTGGGAGAAGCCAGTCCCTGTGCCATGAAAATACTCAGGTAGCCCTGTACAGTGGCCCTTGTAACGAAGAACCGACCTGTCAGCCATGAGGATCAGCCACCTTGGAGGCATGTCCTCTAGCTCCCATCAAGCCATCAGCAGCCCCAGCCAAAACCTCACAGCGACTTCACGAGAAATCCCAAAACAAACCACCCTACAGAGCCACTCGCAAACTACTGATCCACAGAAACTGAGGGATAATAAATGGTTACTTTATTAGGCCACTAAATTTGGGGGTGATCTGTTACGCAGGGATAGACGACACATTCACTCACTCAGTTTATTCAGCTCTCTGCTCAAGTTATTCATTTAAAACTAACTTTGTTCCTTGGTTTCCTATCTAATAGTCAGCCAATCTCCCCATAAATCTCTATTTCTTGCCCTAGTTTGTTTCTCTTCATAGTACTTAGATTTAACCATTATTTTTATTTATTTATTTATTTACTAATTTTCTTTCTCCCAGCTAGAATGCAAGCTCCATAGGGCAGGAATTTTTTCTCATTGCTTGCACTGACTCCTGAATGCCTACAAGATTGCCTCACACAGGGTGGTCATTCTACCTGTTGCTTATTATTCATTTGTATAACGACAACTACTGTTTGTTCACAAACGTGTTGGGAACTGTGCTGAGCATTTTTATATTTAAAATAAAACATTTTTATTTTAATCCCCACAACAACTCTAAGGTGCAGAGGCATTCGCAGTGCACAGTGGAGGAGTCAGGCTTTGTGGTAGGTCCACAGCTAGTAAACGACAAAATCAAAACTCAGAGCCAGTTTGGCTGATCCAAATTTTGCTTTCAACTACTTTCCTATATTGAAGGATTAAATAATTTAAGATCATCCAAACTTGTGAAAGGATACATAAGATGCACAGTTTGCACAAGAGATGCTTTTGTTTTTTTTTTTAAAGATTGGCACCTGAGCTAACAACTGTTGCCAATCTTCTTTTTTTTTTTCTGTTTTATCTTCCCAAACCTCCCCCAACATAGTTGTATATCTTAGTTGCAGGTCCTTCTAGTTGTGGGATGTGGGACACTTCCTCAACGTGGCCTGATGAGCAGTGCCATGTCCGCGCCCTGGATCTGAACCCTGGGCCGCCGCAGCAGAGCGTGCGAACTTAACCACTCGGCCGTGGAGCCAGCCCCAAGAGATGCTTTTAAAACATTATTAGTCTGTCCAGGTGGGTGAGATGTGACGGGGTGGGGAACATTCCTAAAAAGTGAAAAGACTGCCTCAGGAGCTTAGTGCTGCAGAGTATTCAACAGCAGACCATAACTTAGCACCCTGAATAACTGACAAAGGATCATGCTGTTCCTATGAAAGCAGGCTGACTCCAATTCCACGTCACTTGGGCTCCTGTCAGTGTTATGGGTTAACGGTAAAGCAGTGTTAATGAAGACTGGAGATCTTCAGACAGACACATTGGCTCTGTCTCCCTTAAAGAGCTTTCAGACTTGGCCATTTTATGTCCTTCTTTAGTCCTAATGTGCAGAGATTTAATGCCTGTATAAATCTGAGAGGTATTCTCTACTAAAGCTAAAGAATTCAAAGCTAAAGAAAATCAGTAATGTCTGTTGCCTACAACCAAGTAATATAGCTATATATTAACTTGCCTATTTTATATAGGTAAACAATATTTAAGATCCCAAGAATTATAGACTTACAAAATCTTTAAATTGAAAGGGATCTTAGAAATCACCCAGCTGAAATTCTTCCCAGAGTAATAACTTCTTCTACAATCCAGATTCTTCCAGGGACAAAACTTTCCTCATCTTTGATGGGAGAGCTTTCCACTGCTGAAGAGCGTGAACTTCATTAATCTCATCCACACTCATGGCCCTCTCTGGGTTTCTATACCTTGTACCATGTGTGTCTGGAGAACCTAAATTTGCTGTGCTGGACACACTGGATTTACTATTCTGGACATTAAACCTGCTGACTGGACCAGAGACCGCCATGCAACCAAAGGAAGCTATGTGAGTGATCAAACACCCCTGATATGTGTTGTCCTCAAACTATGTCCAGTAAGGAAGCTCTGAATTTGGTGGTGGAAAACCCACTCTTCGAGGAGCAAGTACGAAGTACACCCAGCAAGGAAAGCTCAGTAGAGCCCAGGTGTATCCCATGGAACAAACTGGGCTGTTTGTTTCCATTCTCTAGAATATCCCAGTCATGGAAACACTGAGTCAAAGATGACAGTAGGGGGCTGTGCAATGTCCTGCTGCTTGACTTCTCTGAATACACTTATACTAAACACCAATGGAAAAATGGCTACCTGTGTGTCTCTGCCCTGCCAAAACAGCCTAACACTCTCATGCTGAGCTAGCTCTGTCTTCTACCTCTATCCAGCCATCCAAGTTCTGCCCTCTGGCATTCCAACTATCATATGACAGTCTTTTACATTTTCACTCAGGCCCTAAGTCTTCTCTCCTCCATGGAATAATGCTCAATTCCATCAATACCTCCAACAGACAGTTACTTTCCTGTAAGCTAGCAAATCCGTCTTTCTCCTAAAGCATCCCCACCTGAACACTGCCCTCCAGACATGGTGTATGTAGGACATGGTGTATTGTTACTATCACCATCTTGTTCTGCGTACTAAGTTGCATAAACATTTTGAGCAATCCTGTCACACTATCTGCTTATACTAAGCTTGTAGTCAATTAAAACATCTATGCTGTTTTATGTAAGTCTGCCCAGTCTATACTAACACAATAGATTTTATAAATTTAAATACAAGTCTTTACATTATCTATGTTACGTTTATCTTTTGGACTTCAACTCTTTCACATCCTGTTTCTGTTACGCTTGATAGAAGATATTCCTCCTAACCCATAGTCAACTAGGAATTCAAACATGCTTGTTTTTTATCCAGGTTACTCATAAAAAAAGTGAACAGAATATGATCAAGAAAGGAAACCAATGCTATGACACCCAAGTTCTCCTCCAGTCCTCTTCTGAACTTGTTAGAGACATTGGCGTAAAGTAGCTAAGGGAGCTGTAAGTCCACTCAAACAGTTAAAATCCAGTCTTCTTTTTCTTGTTTGATACGAAAATACAGAAAAATAACTGACCATGAAGTACAGTCATATATTCTCATAAATAATACTTACTGGTTCATTTCTAGAAGTTTATTGGAACCTGCGTGGCCAAGTGGATGGAGTATTTAATCACTTTTAATACCTTTTAAACACCTCTACTTTGGTCAAATAGGGTCATTCCCAGCTCTTAATTTGTTCTGATACAGCCATTAGAGCTATAGTGCCTTTCAGGAAAGAAATAAAGTAAGGGGAATCCTACTAGAGGTTAGATAACATGGAGGGAACTCCACACAGTTCTTACACAAAACTTTTGCCACCAGAGAACTTGTGAGAGAAATTATATGCAAGTAACTCTGGCCAATGGGGAGAGAGGTAAGTCTAAGGGATAAAGCCATGAAAGATTAAATCTGTCCATACCAAATATCAGAGTTCATACTATAGATACCAAATATCAGAGTTCATACTGTAGATACCAAATATCAGAGTTAACAGTTTATGGGAATGCCACATAAAACTTGGCAAAAGTTCAAGCCTCCTTAATACCTTTCAAGGAACAAAATAAATATTTACATTATATCTACTTTCTGGTAACATATATCTAAGAATATCACTTTGAAAGGGGAATAAAAAATATGCTAGAATGGGAAACAGTCATCACTTGACATAAGTAATTTAGGTAGATGAAACTCAATTTACTATAATTCCCTAAGAAAATAGACATATCCACATTTTTCATTGGCTTAAATCATTTTTTACCCGAACTAATTAAGAGAAGAATAATTTAATTTGAAAAGATCAGCCTTATTGATTGGTCCAGGAAACCCTTGGTACTTCCCAGGAGAATGAGACTGATGAAAAGGAAGCAGCACTTTGATATGAATTAGGGAATGAACGGACAGATTTATAGAGTAAGTCTCAGGCTTGGTATACTTCATTTTTCAAAATAGAATCTTCAGTGTAATCAGAAATCAAAAGTATAGCTTTTGAGGACCCCATTGGTGTTAGTGTGGGCATACAATTCAGAGATCTATTTTTAATATTAATATCGATATAAGTGATTGCAAGTCCCCAGGACAGCAACTACTTTTTCATGAAAATAAGATAACATAACAAATGTAGGCCTATTATAAAGAGTTAGTGTGGTATAGGGAAGGGAGCATGGAATTTGAATTGGTAAAGAATTTGGAGCCAGGAGAATGGAGCTCTTCTCCAGTTGTGACATTTCCTTATCTCTAAAATGGTGATAATAAAATACAACCCACAGGGTCATTATAAAAATCAAACAAAATAATGCATATAAAAAGGCATTTACAGTCATGTGCTCTATAATGATGTTTTGGTCGATGACAGGATGCATATACAATGGTGGTCCCATAAGATTAGTACCCTGTAGCCTAGGTGTGTAGTAGGCTATACCATCTAGGTTTGTGTAAGTGCTCTATGACTCTATGATGTTCGTACAATGATGAAATTGCCTACCGACTCACGTCTCAGAATGTACCCCTGTCACTAAGTGGTGCATGACTGTACATAGCCTGGACGAGCATTAAATGTTTCTCCCAGTAGATAGGAAGCTCCTCAGAACTAGAACTAATCTTATCTTTTTTATGCTTTGTACCTAGCACAATCTCAGACTAAAGGATTTTGATAAATGTTCGTGAATAAATGCATGACCACCCAGAAACCACACACCAAAAAAAACGACAGTTCTGTTTGCATGCATAGTTGGGCAAAGTAAGGTTTATAATATGCAAATGTCAGCTTAAAAAAAGTTTATGCTAAAGTATAAATAAATGAGCCAGATGTATATTTATAAATATGTTCATTCTATAAAATATACATACACACATATGCATATGATTTAACAGTTCAAATGTATTGTGCAAACAGAAAATATAAGTGAACTGTGATTTTTAAACGGAATCTATCACAACCAAAGCGCCTAAGAGTCACTGAAGTAAAAAACAAATTCCTGCTCTGGGCGGTCATCTAACTTAGAGAATTCACTGCAGTGTAGCTACTATGGGCAAATATTTGTTTCACATGATTACTCTTTTGCAAACCTTCCAGAATGCAGTTTGAATTGTATTTACAATTGTAAAAATCTTACTATCAAATTGTAAAAATCTTACCATCAAATTGTAAAAATCTTACTACCAAATCACTTACTATCAAATCACTTTGACAACTGGGGGCGGGGAGGAGCATACGGATTTTATAAATAAAAACTCTATGAAGAGAATTGAAGGAAGGTGAGTTACCTGGGTCTGTAGAGGGAATAACATAGGTGTTTTGTTTTAACTCTTTGGGCCTGAATGAATATTCTCATCCGAGGGTCAAAATACAGAACAGATGTGTAGGCTCTGAATGACCATCTCTCCGGAAAACTAGAAAAGAAAACAGCAAAGGCCACACTGAAAAAGATGCAACAATGAAATGTCTTTGAGAAGAAAAAATTAGACTACGCGCTTATGATGGTTACTACTAGCAGCTTCAGGAACTTTTCTTCTAAACCTAATGACACAACAAACACCAGCGAATCTTGCAACACTCACAATACTTTACTGAGCAGACCTTTAAATACAAGGGCCCACATGAATAACTCACACTTTGATTAGAACTGAATTTTGGTTGGCAACTAACCAATTCTGAGTAGACTTGCATCGGCAACAGAAAATATACCTTCCATTAAAGCTGTTGGCCCAAAAGGACAAAATCCAGTCAAATAAACAAAATCATTCCCTGGCTCAAACATAACAAAAACAATCTAGGCCCATGTGGATAAAAAACATTTCCATAAAGTTATTGTAAACAGAGAAATACAATAAAAATGTTTCATTTGCTTTGAAAATTATGAACAAGAAACATAAAACTTCACTCTGTAAGTGCACCAGCCATGCATAAGAAGTAGTGCTCTTTATCTACAGGGTCCCAGAAAAGGCTACTACGAAGGGCTGTAAGGTCATCCAGAAAGCAGAGAGCAGTGAGCCCAGCATTTTTACAACCCTACCTCAGCCCAGAGGGAGACAAAGAGAATGGAACGGAAATACGGAGCTTGTCTAAGGGGGACTGCTCAATGGGGTGACACCATTGCCGGTTACTCCTGAGAAAGACAGAATGCCAAGGAATTGACAAAAATGAAGATGAAGCCCACAAGAAATCCAAGGATTTCCTGGTTGGTTATAAGTTCCTTTCTGGCAGGATCTGAAGCTCATTAAAAGCTCAGGGATTTCTTTTCACTTTTTTAAAAGAAATGCTTTTAAAGTAAGCCTTGAGTAGAACTTCCCAATACAAATTATGTGAAAGTATCTAGTCCATGGCTATTATTCTATAAATACTAACGCATTTTCAGTGTGACAAGAGACGCTGTCTGCATTAGGGTGTGGCGCTACACTAAGGTGGTTGACTGTTAGTAAAACCAGAGGCTGCACAGTCAGGGAAGTTCTCACCTTTAAAAGAAGAAAAAGTCACCTTGGGATACTATAAACAGTCCAATGACTTTTGCCATTATTCAAATCCTTTCTGGATCTCCTGATTTAAAATTGCCCTTATAGCGAGTAGCTCTTTCTTTTGACTCTCCTCAAAGCTAACACAGCTCTGTCATTTGAAGGTAAAAGTCAAAAGAAATTCAGGGCCAAGTTTAAGAATTTGAGAAATATGACGAGAGATCAAATTGGGTTAGACAAGTTTGGTTAAAAAATATATATTATACAAATACAAAATAAGGAGACTAACACAGCTACCTTTTGATAGCTCATTTTTTTTTACTCATTCAATAAATATTATAGGTAAATAGTCATAGCATGTGTGCTGGGGATCCTCAAGACCTCTGTGTTAGGAGACTTTCTGGAAGGTCATGGGACTTAGAATAAAATTGCACTTAAGGCTAAGATTTATCACAGCGATGTAGTAAGGATATACAGTGGTTCATAAGGGGAAAAGTTACATGGGGTCTAGAGGGATCCATGTGCAGCTTTCTCATGTTCTCTTCCTCTCATGAAGGGTCACACAGAGGCACACTCCTCCTCCAGCTATCAAAATGCAGTAACGTGTGTGATGTTTCTGCCCAAGGAAGCCCACTAGAGACTCAGCACCGAAGGTTTTTACCGGGGGCTGGTCACACATGCCCTGCCTGGCATGTATCAAAATTCCAGAGTCCCAGAAAGAAAGTAGGTTTTCAGCATAAACCATATTGCTTGCATAGTGTAGACATAGCGACCCACCCTTATTTGTCATGGAAAGTTTTAAATCAGTGTAGGGAACTGTTTACCCACCAAGGTTTCAGAAGCCAGCCAAGGACCAACCTTGCAAGTAAGACTTTCTGTGGGCGGAAGCCTTCTATGTTAACCCTTTTCTACACACATGCCCCTTTTAAAAGTTCCTATTTATGACAAAAAGCATGGTAATACCTCTTATGCTATTGTGATGTCTGTCATAGGAAGAAAATAAAGGCGGCTAAATATAAAAATCTACATATAAAATGGGCCACCCAATGTAACTTTTGAACTTCCTTACATGACGCAGAAGGTCCTTCATGACCTGGCCCCCACTTAACTCTCCAGCCTTGTCTTTTCCCAGCTTCAGTCCAGCCAGCTTCAGCTAGCCACTCTCAGTTCTCCAGATATGGGGTCATGCTTTCTTCTCCGCATGCCTTGGCACATTCAATTCCTTGGCCATTTTCAGTTAGCTCCTCCTGACCCCTCAGGGAGCAACTTGAGATCTTACCTCCCCTTGAAGCCTTCCCTCACTTCCCCAGGATTGGGTGAATCACTCTCCTCTGTGTTCCACTCCTCCTTCTGTGTCTTCCCGTCGCAGCAGTTGCCACGTACCGGTGACACTGCTTGCTTATTTATCTGCTATCCCCATCATGCTGTATACTCCATGAGGCTAGCATCCTCATCAATAAATATTTGTTAAATAAATGATAATTACTCAGGACTTCCTTGGCCTAATTTAGAATGAACAACAGGGGGTTCCCTATATAAGACAGACTTTTTAATGATTGTTAATCTTCAATGATGATGCTACCAGTCTTTATAAATAAAGGCATTCACTTGGGAAACTGAAATGCAAATGTATAAGTAATCAGAGTATCTTCAAAAGATCTAAGAAAAAAATACTGCTACTCTCCATCCATCAGGAACTGCTTCACGTATCTTTTTCAAGAGGTGTTCTTCTCTTGTTTGTTCCTAAACATCTTTCTTTTGTCTTAAACTTTGCCAGAAGGGTCTATATCTCTCTTTCTCACTTTCTATTTAACCGACTATATTAAACTAAAGAAAGGAAGAGAGAGCAAACCCTCCAACACACACACACGCATCCCAGACACATACAGAGTCACATGACAGACACAAGGAAAGAAGAGAGTATTTTAAGGCAGAAACTGGTTTGATAGGCTGTGGAATATAATAGGAAGAGATGTAGTAGTCCATTTGTTTGTCCTCTGCTCAGCAATGGGTATTCACAAAAAGTCTCTAATGCCACGACCAGCTGTGGCTGTGGCCTCTTTCTTCTCTCAGTCTATCCACGTTGCTCTGCTGCTGTTTTAAGCGTTGCTCCATATGCGGCCAACCACAGGTGGAGTGGCGTGTTGCGGTCACCAAACTGTGTTAAGGATAGGAAAGGGACCAGAGAGAGGGGTCTCATGGCCAGTGTCACAGCTCCTTTATCTACCAGTTCAGATTCCCTGTGGCTGGAGTCTGAAAATGCAAACTTTTTAAGGCTACCCAGGTGATTCCTTTAATTCTGCCAGTTTGGAGAACCACTGCCTGGTAGACCTAGCGGCCAGGGTGGTACGCAAGGCAGGCTGCCTGAACGAGAGGAGAACAATCTCTCACACGTGCTTGGACCTAGGACATCCTCTACATTTATCCCCACCGGGGACACAGACGACAGACTCCCACCCAGCCCAACCACTGAGCTACCCTTAGAAAGTCCGTGGTGGGGAAAATGACTCTACTCTCTAGGCCCTAGACTACGCTAGACCCCTTTTGGAATATCTCAGAAGGGCCATACAGAAAATACTGTATATTATAACCAAAATTACTTTCTAAATTTATTGCTAAAGTCCCTACAAACTCTTGGAAGATTTCTTGAAGTTGAAATTAATAAGGCCTATATTACCTTGAATATAAAGAAGTGCATAAAAATTTTTAACTAGTTTAAATTATGAACTGTGAAGGGTCTAACCAAATTTAATCTTGGGTAGATTATACCTAAGAGAAATGTCAACTCAAAGAGGTAATTTAAAAGAAAGTTATAAGCTACGCAAAGCAATGAAAGTGCTTCTGTCAAAACCACGGCATGGTGAGCAGCACATGATAACAATTTGAAGCTGTAAATTTTGATGTGTTCCCAGCCAGCTCAGTTAAGACATAAACTAGAGACATTATGGAATGCTGCCCAATGACTGTCAATTTAGAAACACACTGGCAATGTGGCATCCAATTTCAAAACATTACTTAGCACAAAATTTCAACTCCATTACTCTGTATTATATCATAGCTCTCAGAGCTTGTTTTGTGGATGGGTTCCTCTAGCTGCCTGAGATCCTGAGGCATGATGGATCACAGGGGCGTGCCAGGCCCCTTTGATGACAGCCAATTCCATGACATGGTTTTTTACTAGAGGTTGTGCTTTCTTCCATTTTCTCATAAAGTTCAACATGTAAAATATTTCTAACATTCAGAAGATAATAAGTCACTAAAAGCAACATGGACACAAGGAACTCACACACATAACAGACCAGGTGACATGGTCACATGGTCCTGACCTTCAAAAAGTGAATGAGGAAAAACGCTATAGGAATGATCAAGCCTTCACAGTTTGGAACTCAAAAGAGATTTCAAAGCTAAAAGAAGCACTTCACAAAATTTCCTACAACTCCCTGTCTTACCCTAATAAAGATCCCTGATGATCTTCAGGGATGGAGGACGGAAGAACCCACCACTGAGAGTGCCAGCACCTTCCGATGAAACTTTTTGCAACATCCCTAGAAAATTCCCTAGACATTGGCATTTAATTCAGTTTACTTGAATACAATTCATGTTTTGCTTGCTATGTACCAGACACTGAGTTCATTTCCAGAGCATTATAGTAAATGCTAGAAAGTGTTGTAGGGAAAAGTAGAATGGAGGGAGCTGAAACGCACTGAGAACTTTAGGTGTCAGGTACTGCGACTATTCTGTCTCCACAGCATTCATAGCAAGTAGACGATATCATAGCCTCACTTTACAGATGAGAATACTGAAGTTCAAAGACTCTGAATAACTTATTACTAGAATGAAAGCTCTCCCGACAATTCAAGCTGCTTGAGAGCAGAGGTACTTGTCTGTTTTCTTCCCTGATATATCCCAGCTCTCACAACAGGGCCTGAGACTTAATAACT